GCAGCAGTCGAATATGCGTCCATGCATTTTCCCGCGCGATTGCCGGACGTAACTTCACATGCCACCGACTTTACATGCCACCGGCACACACCGACATGTCTGCCATTTCCATTGGCTGTTGAGTGTGTGACATTTATCATACTAGTGGATCACTTTCTTAACATATTTTGAATTCTAGGATGTGTTGTGCTCCGTTATAATAAAGGACAAATTCTGCACTAGTCATCAGCCACCAGCTCATTACATCGCCCAGCCCGCTAGCCGTAAATACATAAGCTAGGAACCAAGTCAGAGCTTGGTTTTGATGGTTGTTAACAGCCAACTCGAGTTTATTTTGCCTGTTGTTCCGAAACAATTAGCCTTAAAACCACAGCATTTAACATGATAAAATAAGTAAGCTTCCACGACATGTGTGCGTAGCGCGCCAAGCTTTATTGGGCCGTGCACAAGATCGGTTTCTGTATTTATTAAACCAATGAATAAGTAAATACATATATGCATATGTGCATGCGTATATATATATATATATATATATATATATATATATATATAGATATATATATATATAGTATATAGATATAGTATATTATATATATATATATATATATATATATATATATATATACATTTATATAGTATTGCATACGACTTGTCTTAATATGAAATGACCAAAATGCAAATGTATTTTTTGGAGGGGACCCCAAACTCCATGGGGCCCTACAATGTTGCGTGTCCCCCTTGACAAAATCCTGGATCCGTCCTTGGCAGGAAGTGGCCTCAGAGGCCGCGTAGGGCCCTCCGAGCAAACGCAAAGAAATCAAGAGCAACGTAGAGGGCTTCCTTAGCCGATCGCGTTGTCTTTGCAAGTAGGCATATAGGGCCCGTGGAAACAACATAGGGTCTCTAGGATAGTGCAATGCGCCTTAAAACCTCGCAATCACCCCTCTCTCGATAAAGAACAACTTTTGTCCGCTTGTGGGGTTTCGCTGTCTCTTGCGACTGTTCTTGGTTGCCTGGAAGCCCAAAGACGTCCAATTTTGTCGCGTTTTGCATAAAATACTACGTCTCTTCGGCCGGCTATGGGCGCCTCCGGAGCTCATGGGTCTGTTCGCGGACCCAATGGGCAAGGGGCATGACCCCGTGTCTCCCTCCCCCCCCCTCTGGATCCGCCCCTGTGGAGGTCTGCATGTGGCGCGCGGTCAAGCAATAGCGATATTTCCCAGATGCGTTCATCATGCCTTTCTCCTCGTAAATGCTAAAGTAGCATTTTTCTGACCGTGAGTAAACGCGAATACTACGTAGTATGATCAGAAGTCAAGGCACTTCCATTGGGTTTAATTGGCTGGGAAGGAAAACAAAATTTACCTCGTTCACAGGAAGGTGTTATTGAGTGTTCATGGTACCCTGATGGCAACGTCACCCTGAAGACCGATGTGTTACCTTGACAATGAATATTCTAAACGGACTCATGCACACACACACATACGTAATAGTATTTTGAGACCGAAATTCCCGAGCATACGCGTGCTATTTTGATTCCCATAAGAGGCAGTAGGTGATGCGTGACGAGCCTGGTGTTCTTTTTTTTGGCGGATGTACCGTTTGGTACCCGTTACTTTTTGGTAGGAACATGGCATGTACACGGTACCACGATATATTAGTTTCCCTTAGGTACAAGTGACGAAGCTGGCACACTGGCAGGAGGTTCTGCAAACTAATAGCAGTTTCAATCCCTCGCTAGATGTCCACTGCTGTTACCAAGGGGAAGAAGTCTAGAAGCGGTTCCTAGGATCGTCAAACGGCGTTCTCAAGCTAATTGAGATGGTGGCACAAGTGACTAGGTCGCAACAATTCCTTTACTTTGGAACGCAGCTACTTGAGCGTGACGTAGCTGATTGTGACGTCATAAGTCCCAGCGTTTGGTGAGAGCTATGCCTGTGAAGGATCAGGAAAGGGTTGAAACATCCAGATGACTAGGTATCGCCCAAGGACGGCTCCCCGACTCACAATTGGGGGATCAGCATGCACTAGCTTGGGAAAGGTGCCTTAGTCCGTTCGTGGCAATAAACGCCATTTGTGAACGTAAGCACGTCGTAGAAGTGCGTGAGGTAAGTTGCATGTAGTTCATGTCCTGTCCAAGTGGTTCAAGGAAGGGCTCCACATTTTTATGGGGTTTTGAACTGAAATGGCCATCTTGAAGACCTTTCGGCAGTGCTCAAAATCCTCTCCTTCTTAAAGCTTAAGCCCTCTAGTTTCTGGGCTACACGCCCGCGAAAATGGGGAAAGGTATATCGGAGAGTATTTCAAAGTCGGGGAGCCGTCCTTGGGCGATACCTAGTCATCTGGATGTTTCAACCCTTTCCTGATCCTTTGTCCGTCCCGGTGGCTCAGTTGGTTAGAGCGCCTGCATTCCGACCCACCCATCCGTGGCGGGGTGGGTTCGAGTCACTTTAGGGCGCTCGCTATTTGCCCTTGGCAGGTATGGCCTGCGGCCGGTGGCAGCGGTCGTGCTAAAGGCCAGTTGACGTCAGAGGGCAGGACGGACCGTGCCGAGCATTGCGGCACGTTAACCTTTCGCCACTAAATTCTGCCGTTGCCTGGAACTGCGCGATCGGATGGTGGGGGTCAGGGCTCACACAACAAGCACTGCTTAACGTGAGCGCTGATCCCAGAAATCCATCCATTCAAAGGATTCGGACCAAATTTAAAAAAGTCCCCTGGCATTTATGACGTCATAATAACGTCATTCAAATCCGGTCATTCCATAAGCCATGCGGTGATGAAGGCCAAGAAAATACAGTCGTCAATGCGTTCATATCTGGCGTTCGTGAGCGCGATTTCCAGATATAACGTAACCTGGCCTCAACCAATACTGTGCATGGGACAGTGACGTAACCAAGCCATGACGCATTGTGGTGCGCGTTTACTAAACAATTGTGCTGTCTAGAGCAGTCTTTTTCCTTAAAAAGTATACCAATAGCCATAAGTGAGCTGTCGTCATCATATCTGATGATTGCTTCAAGATGTTCAAATGTGAAGCACTCTTTCAGAGTGATTTATTCCAAATCTATGTGACGGATGACAGTTTTGAGTCTCTCAGCTGACGCACAATAGCTCAGTCTACTTTACAGTGCTATTCCGGCCGCTTACGTGCGCTCGTCTTGGGATGGGTGCGACAAGTCTTTTTTTGCATGTCATTGAAACTTTAGTGATCGTTGTAAGTGTGCGTTTAAGGGCCTATGGCTCAACGAGATCAATCTGAATGCGATACGTTATGGTGGAAAAGTGCATGTGTTGTACATACTGCAAAGCGTTTGACGTCTGCTAACCAAGGATTTCAGGGTGGCGCGAACTTTCTTCCAAGATGGCGGGCGGCACATATCATATCAGCTGCGCATGGCGCATGCTATATCGTTAACCCAATGTACCGACAATACGTTTTTGGTTGACTTGCCGAGAATGATTAAATCGCATGATTACCATGTTTTACTGGCATCATGACAGCGTGCCGACAGTTACGTTACCTTCGTAAATCCATGATGTCCACCTGAGCAACCACAACCGAGGTGGCAACAGTCGTGGAGGAAACACTGACTGATTAAAAGAGCAAACAACTATCATGTCGCAATCATGGCTAATTACGCAATAGCAAAAACAAACGCTTCTGGTCTACATGTCATGCCACATTTAACCTGCTTTCGATGCAGCTCTATGAAAAAAGCACATGGGCACAACTTCCATATCTATGTGATACAGGTTACGCGAGATGGGGCGGGCTTTCTCATTTGAGGGGGTTCATTCACAGGTCATTCACCACAAGAAAAAAATGTGCTCTCCAAAAGCTTACCTCTACATATAAAGCTCAAGTTTATATATGTGTATAATCATAAGAACGTCAGTCCTATCCTCTGTAGTTGTAGCAGGAAGGGAATGCAGAGTAAAATCTGATGCAACCCTCTTTACTCTCCTCTACGTGATGGAACCATTGAAGTTCTTTAAATTTGGAGGGAGCATGATCATGTTTGGTTAGTTCTTTTCAATCAGCACTCATAGGACCTATACTAAATTGTCAGAAAGTTGTGGGGCTCAGCACATGGGTGCTGCGTTGGAAAACCGTAGCTTTAATGTCTACTTCTGCCAAGGTGACTAAGCATTACAATAATCAACATAGTTGCTCCAATACAGCATAACTATTGTTCATCCCGGTGTTGGCGGCGCTCTTATTGAGCCTAAACGGTTGGCATTGCAGCTGAATTTGGGAGAAACTGATCTTTGTTGACATAAAGCACATTTTTAAGTTTACGTGTCAAAGCTTCTGTGTGAGAAAAACAAATGGATGTAGTGCATTGGAATTATACGGTTTTTATTTGCCTAGCTTCGGAGACAATTAAAAAAGAACACACCGTGTCCAAAGTGAGGACCCTGCTTCAACGTAATTATGTTCAGGAGTCTTCCAGGAGGTATAGTTGCATCCTCACAAATAAAATTTATGATCCACCGTCCCAACTGGCTTCATCTTAAAGCATGAACAGAGATGCAGAGAGCAGAGAGCGACGATGCATTTCAACTTCCCACCTTGTTGCGGCTACCCATTTTACGGGTCTTGACTGTCTGCATCTTGCAAAAATGTGGGCCTTATGTTCATACGCCTTCACGTACACGCACATGCACGTACACACACGCACGCACACATGCACACACACACGCATACGCGCACACACATATATGTATATATACATCTATGTATATAAATACATGTGTATATATATATATATATATATAAATATATATATATATATATATATATATATATATATATATATATATGTGCAGAAAAATCCAAGAACTCTGTTCAAACAGACGCCAGTTTGAATGAGACTTGAAAGGTGTCTTTTCGGAATGCTTGTATTTTTTAGCTGTATATACATACCTATATATGTATATATGCATGTATATGTATGCATATACATACATATATATACATATATACATATATATATATGTATATAACTACCTGTACTGCTATTAAAAAATCAGTCACCCGCTGTCGGATCTTGTTTGAATGTGCCTAAACACCGTCCCGTATTTCGCCCATCTTTCCTCCTCACAAGCGACGGCCTCACACAGACAGTCACGTCCGGATTTCCGACCAATGTCCGTCTCAGTTTTCATAGCTCCAAGGTTGAAAACCTCAAATTCGTATTCAGACCTACATGAATTCAATTTCAGTTTCGCTCCGCATCATAGCACGACAGGGTGGACAAAAGCAGCGGCGAACTTTAAAGTCCTGGACACCAATGATCACGCACTGATGTGACGTCCTACATCAATCATGTTTCACGCATCCTCCATGGTGAATGAAAGATCAGTGCCCTTTAACTTCTCTGCCATCCACTTGTCGAATTTCTCACTCATCTCTGGCGTGAAATGATTCTTCCAGTCACCGATTTTTCCCTTTCTTATGAAGTCGCCCCGATCTGCATGGAAGTCGCCCGCCGTCTTTCCTTCTTCCTTGTTGACGTAAGGGTTCTTTTTGAAGTTATCAAAATGAAGGTGCTCTGCCAGCTCATCTACTTGCTCACACGAGAGTGACTTGCCCAGAAACTCGGCTACCCTGCGGATTTCTGATTGGAGATCACGTTTCATGTCTTCAAAAAAGATGAAGCAGATGTTGGGGTGGTGACGCACATTCCATGCTTCTACCATGTGCTCCATGACCGGAGTTGCCACGATGAGGCCCTCCATGAAATACTTCACGAACATCTGAAACGACAGATCAAAGCTGTGCTTCCATAACGTTGCATGTGAAAACAGGTAGTGGACGAAAAAATTCGAAGAGCGCGTTAAATATTTTCAAGTATATGTCAACTAACCCTGTAGTCTCCAGGGTCCTGTATTTTAGTTGATACCTTACCTGCATATCTCCAAGGAAGTCGACGTGTGTCATGAGTCTGCAGTGGTGGAAGAAGGAGACGCAGACGTCCTTGGGATTCCTGGCCACGTACACCACCTTGCAGACGTTCAACACGCGCGGATGGATCATGGACAGAGGCCAGTGCGTTTTGACGAAGCGTGGCTGGGCGCAGTGGGAGCTGTCGCTTGACTGTTGGCAGGCGGCATCTGATCTCCGAGTAGTCTTCAGATCAGGATATTTTTCTCCGTCCGTCAACGCACCAGTCCTAAGAAAGTCCCACCTGTGAATGCAGATCGCGCAGTGTATCACGAGGGCCGCGATTTTTGTGGAGGCAATGTCGGGACTAAAATTTGTAGGCGGGAGTGATGTCATGTGACAATTATGTTCAGAGGCTTTGGCTGGCAAATGGATCGTTTGGCAGCCATGAACACCGTGTCTGGTGTAACCTTACCTCTCAGACAGGGTCGTCTTGGCCCCATCGTAATCTAAGTCGTTGGCGATGAGCCACACCATCTCTTGGGTCCAGGTTGTGCCACACTTTCTTTTCTTTCGGACTGGACGTGGCAGACAGCTTGAAGCCCCAGTGGTTAACTGAAGCCAGTCCATTGGGATAGCCGGCGAAATCTCGCGCGATAGCCTTTTGTGTTTCGCTATCCAAAGGAACTATCTTGTATGGGAATGCCTTTTTATCTGGGGTGCTCATCCTGCAAAAAAGAACGTTACAAACAATTATCATATGCTCTCAGTAAGATTGCAGTTGCACCGAGTACATCGCTGGTGGGCTAACACTTGACTGTGCTGAAAGCTTGTAAATACTCTGCATGCATTTTCAAAAAGTTCGCAGAAATGCTGTGACGCCGTCCAATGTGTGTCCACAGAACTCAGACGCTACAACAAACAGAAACACCCGGTTTTGTAGCATAGTTCACACACTTCTTCACATCGAAACAACGCGTATATCAAACGCCCGGTTTAGTGACAAGTACATCAGTGTCATAAATATCAGCTGGGTCACTGAAGGATGCTCAGCATCCAGCCGCAGTTCTGCCTTGACGTCACAGAACAATGCACAGAAATGTACTGCAGGTGAGTGCACAACAGTGCCACATGGCCACAAACTCTTGCCGTGTATTTTTTTTTTTGCCGGTGATGGCGTCACAGTAAGTTGTATCGCCCGCAGCCAACGCCACTCCTGATTCCCAACGTGCGCCCAAAAAGGTCTGCTGAAGAACGATGCTGGTGGTAAGATTTTCATCCGTCGTAGTGCATCGCTCACGTAGCCGTTCTGCGGTAGGCATGGGCGGGCGATCAGAACGGGAGACGCGCGCCGTCCACCGTGCATGGAGCGGGCCCAGCTACAAGAGGCACAACTGACAAGCTCATTTGGAGGCGTGACGCCGGGCCGCGGTGTCGACTGCCGACCGCTTTGGTGCGGGGAGCCGAGGCCGGCCGCCCAGCGATGGAGAAGCTCTAGGTCAGCTGTTCCAGGCGCAAAGGCTGGGTGGTGCGCATGCGCGATGGAATTGCCCGTTTCATTCCACCACGAGCCAATGAAGTCTAAAAGGGTAGGACTCTGCAGCCTTTTTAGGGTGGGGGACGGTGATGCCTTCAGAGAAACACAACTTCCTGCGCACGGCGTTTTAAATGATGCCAAAGGTGCGTTTGTTATTGTTTGTTACTTAACACGCGCTCGGGTGGAGATGGGGGGGGGGGGGGGAATTAAAGTGAACTCCCCGAGATTTTTTTGAAATGGTTTCCGAACGGGGTTACGTAACCGCTCCAAATTTTGCAGAGCTGTATATAATTGAACAGCGTATTGTTTGGTATCAACAAATTAGATTTGCCTTGTAAGGTCGATGACCTACGGCAGGTCAAATTAGACCATGGGTCCAGTGAAGCCAATTTTTAGGGAATCGTTCAATCTGATGGAGCAACGGTGTTAGACGAAGCCATACATCTCTGAGATACTTTCTTAAGCGACGCAACAACTGAATGACCAAATCCCATTGACCTAGCGTCAGTTATGAAGGTCAGGCCAAGGTCAAGATCAACCTATTTAACTATTCTGGGGCTTCCTGAATAGGGTAGTTTCTGGTGCTCATTTCGAATTTATTGATAACAGAAACCTTATAAGACGTCTTCCATGAACATCTTATGGTTCAGAACAGGTCACTGACCTAAAATGACCGAGGTGAGCATTTCGTTTCATGAACATACCGCCTAGCGTAATTTTTGTCGCTTATTCAAATGCAAAACTCAACAAAGTCCTCTATGATTTTGGTCACAATGACCTTCGAAAGGCCAAACAAGGTCACCGACCTTGAATAGGCATGTGACCTCTTGCTTAGAACAGGTATCTAGGTTCTGGGGACATGCTGAAGACCAACTTAGGATTTGACCTTGTTCAACCTTACTTGACACGGAGGTCATGACCTAGGAACATCAAACTTTGACGTAAGTGGGTTCACGTGCAGGCCAATACATCCTATGAATTTGGTGACCCTAGTCCAATCAGTTATTGAAATCTCAGCGGGGTCATATCGACCGCCCACCCGAGCGAAGGTTATCCAACGGGCCAAACGGGCTCGTGTTAATGCAAGTTCTAAATTGAGTATGTGTTCAGCAGTAACAGGCGGCTTGCTAAATTCGCGTAACGCTGGAACGAGGTCCAAGAGATAATGTACAGGTGCAATGAGCACGTCTCTCCCCTCCCTGTACGCTGCATCGTGGTCGCTCTGCTGTGGTCGTTCACCGAACTCTTCTGGGACCGCACACCGATGCCGAGAAGCAGGCGGGGCAAGTGAACGTAGCAATGTGCCACGATGCGCTGCTATGGCCAATTGGTGCAGCATAGTACTTCACCGTGGCGGCTGGACCGGTGCGTTGGCTGAAGATGCCAGATCTCAACGTCCGCTCGTGCTGTTCCATCACCAGCACACTTCATGGCCGAGGTTCTCTCTTCGGCGATACCGTCATACATGTGTCACCATATGTACCTCTCTCCAGCGCCACCGTAGTACAGACACCACGTTGTACACCACCACGCGTAGTGTAGCCACCTTAAGAGATAATGAAAATCCCTCTTCGCGACCGCAGCGCAAATTTGAAAACCCCATCCTTAGTGTGTTTTGGGCACGCTTTGGCTTGCGTACAGCCTCAGTTTATTGATGTCTACGCTCCCATGTACTCACCCGAGGTCGTCCGGACAAACCGCGTAATAGCTCTCGATCTGGTCTTCACTGATGGGTGAGCTTGCGATGGGAAGAAGCCGTGCACCGCCGGCGGTGCGCACCTCTTATTGCGCAGCGCTGTTCCTCGGCTGCGGGACCAGCGACCGAGGCCATGAGCGGGCCTGCGTGATTTCTCGCGTCCCGTGTGGCTCAGAGGCGGCGATTGTCCTGCCTCACGACTCCCGTGCTCTGCCACACCTCCATCCTCTTTTGTAAGTTGCTACCCTGAAAACAACCGACCTTCAGTGTGCTCGGAGATACCGGTCATGCGATGATACGGCGATGTCCGGTGATAAGACGGTCAATGGTGGTACGCGTGGCGCCCCCATGTCGTTGCGCCTGAGCGCGCCCCTACGGTCAGCTGGCGAGCCAGCAGCAGCCAATGGCATCTCTTGCTGCTGGGGGATCGGCCGGCCGGCCTGGACGCCTGCGCGGACCGGCCCGGCTCACAGACTCGCCCAGGGACGCCAGTGAGTGGGTGCACGGTGGCGATTCGCGAGGGGGGGGGGGGATGCGGGAGCCGGGCTGGGTGTCTTGCGCGCAATCGCTTATCCCAATGCCGTACATATGACGTACTCATTTGGTGATCCCATCGCTTCATTATGTCGCCCATGACGTCGACGGTAGTCGGCGGCCGAACGGAACGGCGGTGGTCAAACGCAAGTCGGAGCGCAACGAGCGGCTTGCTCTGACTGCTCTTTTATGTGAACGCTCATGTCTAGGCTTCATGTGAACTAATGCTTTTTCAGCAATCCACGTTGATGCTGTTAACTTGATGCTGATAGAGGGAGAAAACGAAAACGTAAGATGTAGCAGACAAATTTGTGTAATAAAACACTCGACCCGTTTTTCCCTGACTATCGCCGTCCACGCTTCGCGCTAGGTCAGATCATGCCACTGTTGTAAAGAGGTGGAACGCTCAGGTCAGGTCACTAACAACGAACAGGGCAAGGACGACTTGGTAACGGATGAGGTGATTGCTCCGTGTGTGTCATTGAGGCTTTACAACGCACCGAGCTGCTGAGGCTATATGGCGCCGCCTGCCTCTCACCCTGGCGGGAAGGGCGGGCACCGCGGGGAATCGAACCCCGCACCTGTGGTTTCCCAGACGCGCAATGGTTAACATACGCGTTAACCGTTTCACTACCGCCCCCCCCCCCCCGGGCAATTGTTCAAACTGCGGTCCCCGTCTGGTGTGTTAGCTACTCTACGTTCCGGCCAGTCTACTCTCCGACCGGTCTTCAGTGCTATGGAGTCCTGAAAACGACTAGATACTTGGAAGTTAAAAACAAGATATTCCAAGAACTGCGTGTCCAGACAGATGCCTGTTCGAGTGGGACTTGAAAGGCGTCTTCTCGGAATTTTAGCATTTTTAACTGGATATGTACATGCGTATGCATAATATACATACGCGATATAGATATATATATATATATATATATATATATATATATATATCTATTATATATAGACACTGTATTGATATAATATATATATAATATATAAATATATATATATATATATATATATGTACCACATATATGGTATATATATATACACATATATGATATATATATAATTATATATATATATATACATATATATATATATATATATATATATATATACACAACTACCTGTCGTGCTACTAAAATAACAGTGTCAGCTTTTGTCAGAGCTTGTTGGAATATGCCTAGACAACGCGCTATCTTTTGTCCATCTCTCATCCCCACGAGCGACAGCCTAAAACAGACAGTCACCTCTTAAGTCCTCCGAGTCATGGTGCCATCTGGTATCTTGACCCGTTGCTGTCGGTCCTGCAGGAATGAGTTTAGCATACCCGGAGCGAAGTCCCATTACAAGCATGTCCTTGTAACCGTTGTGTGATCAAGGAGGTCAAATTCCTTCTTAAAATTATACATTTCCACAGAAAATAATTGGTCTGTTTCGTCTAACTTCGTCATGAAGTAATGCAACAACCTAATTAGATAATGTGAAGTTCAGGCACCTTTCATATCTCCGTGCTGGTGCGTCTCTATGCTTGGTTTTATATCCGCCAGCATTTGTGAAACAATAATTCTTTCCAAAGCCTCGCTAAAAGGCGGCGTGAGGCTTAGCGGTCACAGATCTCTGTTAACTTGGGCGATGTTTTCTTTGGCACAGGGGTGATTGTCGCTCTCTTCCACACCGATGGCACGCATCCTTCATGCAATAACCGGTTAAAAATATGAGAGTGGTACGACCAGTCCTACAGAAAATTTCTTTCGTAGCTGGACTGGAAGTTGTCCAGTTGGCACACCCATATTTTCTTTCAACTGCGATAGATGTAAGGAAACTTGCTACGGCTGTATCTCAACCGGAATATGCTAACACTAGCTAACGAGCAAAGTGACTGACAGGCGCATGAAGACGATACTTTCGTCCAGGGGCACAGCCAGCGGGCACAGAAGGCACATGCCCCACCCATTTTGTCCTGAGGAGCTTTCCCAGCTCCTCTGGACCGAAGATTCTGGGCCTGATTAAATGGTCCTAACTTAAAGGTCCCGAAGAGCTGGTCGGACGTGGTAATGGGAGTCTCAGACAGCCCTGCCGGCCGGGACCTCAAATACTAGTCAGAGGACCCTTTGCGCCGATTGGGGATCCCCTGAGTCAATGAAGGTAACTATGTTGGTCAGGCACCATCAGTACCGAAAAGTCGGCTCCATGTCGGTGTGGGCCTGAGGGCCCATTTCCAAAAAGCAGGGACAAAGCTGGGGTCTGCGATTTGCATTGTTCGGGGCCCTTGAGTCAATGAGGGGCCCACAGTGCCTAACAGGGGTCCTGGGGCCCAAGCCAGTCAGGCGCAGTACTCAAGGAGCCCGAACAGGAACCCGATGGGTCTCTCGAGACCTACATTGATTGAGAGCCCCTGGGACAATACAGGCCGCTATTTCCGCCAGACCTCTCACACCGAACAGTCGTCTCTGTTGGCCTCAGCTCCGTGGGCCAATTTCCCAAGAAGGGACGGGACCGGGGCACACGATTTGCACTGGTCGCGGTCCCTGCAATAATAAGGGGCCCTGTTACAGTTAGGAGCTCACATTGTCTAACAGCTGTTTTGTGTCAACAAGGCGTCCTGAGTCGGCCAGAAGAACATTTGCTGAATAGGGGCAAAAACTTAACCGAAATAGCACAGGGTTGCTTGTGTTGGTCAGGGCCCTCTGTAGCTTTGAGCCCTACCCCTTGACATGGATCTTGTGAGGATCTGGTGTCAAACACCTGCTCTTCGATAAACAACTTCGGAACGTAACGAATAATTTCTATCACGCAAGTTGCTACGTGCATTTGCAAGGAACATTATGAGTATGGATAAGACAGTACTGTCAGCCCTAGTCCTCGTAGAATAATCAGGAAAAAGGAAAGACAGATATATTGATATTTTGGTTACATACCTGTATTGATACGAAATGAGTTTCGGTACCTTCATATTCTTATATTTGTTTTGATAAAAACATGTAGCCGAAATATCGGTGCATCTATTTCTCCTTTCTTGCTACGCTTATGCTACGATAAATAATGCTAAGAATGCTATGTTATTGATAATTCATTCCACGCCAATTGTGGTGCATTACAACTAAAAAAAAATGCAGGCAAATTTTCGGTCTTTGGCCGTCGTCGGGTTAGAACTGATTTTGATTAGATAATGGCCAGCGCTCTTGAGATAGGCCGAGCACCTCAGTCTGAGTATGCCCGACCACTCAATACGGCTCCGAATGTTCGTCGTTCGTGAGGCTCCCCTCGCCAAAAGCAGCCCCAGATCATGGGCGTTTCGGCTCTGTGTATTTACCGGAGCTTTCTGAATAAGATGACAGAATTTATGCATTTGTCTACGCCCCACATTGGCTGATCGCACTCAGCTGTCACCCCAGTGAGCTAGCGGGCCCTGCTCCGTCAGGCTGAACTTGTAGCTGGATGTAGTGCGGCCCTGTGCTTGATATCTGTCATACGCAGTCAGACACGGCCTCGCCTGAGTACAGTCAGCTACCCGATAACACGGCCCGGCCCCATTATTTATCTTGGCCTGTCGGCTCCAGAGGCGGCGACCGTCTTCTCTCACGACTTCAGTACCATGCCGCACGTTCATTCTCTGCGCCTGGACTCGCCCTTGCGACCCCGCTCGCCTGCCCTCTTTTCACAGATCTAACACACTGCACCATCACAGCGTGCGCGTGTCGGCAGGGGCTGGAGATACAGGGGCGAACTCAGGATCACAAGGTGGGGACGCAACGTTTTCGGGCCCCTAGAGTTAGAAGCCCCTTCAAAACATCCTCGCATTCGCCATTAAATTTCAAGATTCACAAGTCATTTTTTTATGCGGAAATTCATCTTGTGCGAAGCCCTAAAAAACAAGACGTGCATGAAGCTTATCATATACGAACATGAAACTTATTCATTTTATCGAGATCATGGCGAATTCTGTCATTTTAAGGCTAAGTTTTGAGGCAAAATGTCATACCTGTCTAAAGAAAGCTGATAAATCAAGCTCGAACTTGATTCTTGGCTCATTTGCAGCTTGCCAGCTGACCGATGTAATCAGCTGACAGGTGATGACTAGTGTAGGTTTTGCTTTGTTATGAAGGAGTACAAAACATCCTTGCATTTAAAATGCATTAAGAACGTGACGCACAAGTCTAACTAGTGGCATGAATAAAAAACAGAAATAGCACATACGACGTCGGCGAAACGTAAAATCATGTTCGAAACTTGCGCTTAAAAATTCATCGCCACATATTCGACAATTGCTCTAAGGCTAAGATACCGAGGCCAGTAGAGACGGAACCTGAGCGATCATGGGTGCTGCGGCAGGTGAAAAAGGCTTTCGTCAAGTATGGGGTCCTGAGAGAAGGCGAGAAGAACCTAAGCCCAACGTGGTGGACCACTGAACGATCGGGAGTGCCTTGGCAGGCTGACTTGTAGGACACCAGCCAGAGCCAGGGCTTTCTAAGCAAAGGGAAATTGCCCAACACCAGCGTACGTGAATTAATGCCCCTGTACGATCAAGAGTGCCCGGGCAGGTTAACAGAGAAGGTCCGGGCAGGTTAACAGAGAGGGTCCC